TATACCAGATCAGCAAGCCAGATTATAGGCACAACTAAGGGACAGAGTAAACTGCCTGGACAATCAGGATCAGGGGGCATGATACAGGTTGGCCGCCAAGTCTGGAAACACAGGCAACTATATAATAAATGGTTTTTGATATGACTTTTAATGTATGATAAAATAATACCTATGTTTCCAGACTTTGTGGTCACTCTGTAGCCAAAGCTGTTATTTGTATGGAGCAGTCACCAGATATCAGGAGGCACTGTTCTAAATGCTTCACTTGAATGAGCTAATTTCATTCTCACAGCTACCTTGTGAAGTAGGTAGTGCCCTCATTTCCATGGGAATAGGTGAGGAAATTGAGGCACTAAGGGATTCAGTATCTGACCCAGGATCCCACTGTTGGTGAGTGATGGAGTTGAGCTTTGAGCCCAGGAAGCCTCATTCTAGAGCCCATACCCTCCAAGAGGCCTAAGACACCTGAGCTTTGCTGAACAGCCACCAATAAACAGGGATTTGGGTCCTCTATCTTTTTTTTTTTTTAACCACAGGTGGCACAGGAGTAATCACCATAACTCACATCTGTACTATTCTGCGCAGTTTGGTCCTCATCACAATCCATTACAATAAACCAGGCAGAAGCTATAGTTCCACTTTATAGATAAGGAATCTGGGCTTTTAATGGGATCCCTACCTACCAAATGGCAGAACCATGTCTTCTGAGTCCAAGAGTCTCATGGTTTTAGCTCATTTTCTATGCTAGGTTTTGTGGAGGCCAACATCCAAGATGGCCCCCATGATCCCTACCTCTTATCCTCTCCCACATGAATAAGACTTGCTTGTGTAAGCACTAGGATACTGTGGAAATGACGATGACTTCTAAAGCTAAGACAAAAGATGTTGGAACTTCTGGCTGGATCTCTCTGGATCACTTGCTCAGGAGGAAGCCGGCTGCCATGTTGTGAAGATGCTCCTGCAGCCCCACGGAAGGTGCCCTGGTGAAGAATAAAGTCTTCCACCATCCTGCACAAATGCCCAGCCCTGAGAGTCAGCCCCCGCGGAAGCAGATCCTCCAGCCCCAGTCAGATGATTGCAGCCTCGGCTGACATCTTGACTGGGATTTCATGAGATACCCTGTGATGGTTCATTTTGTATGCCAGTTTGACTGGCCATGGGTGCCCAGATTAAACATGTCTGAGTTTGTCTGTGAGGATGCTTCTGAGTGAGACTAGCATTTTAATCTGTGGACTCAGTAAAGTAGACTGCCTTCCCCATGTGGGTGGGCATCACCAATCTGTTGAGGGCCTCGCTGCTTGAGCTGGGTCACCTCATCTCATAGTCTCTCTTGCCCTCATACTGGGACTCACACCATTGGCTCCCCTGGTTCTCCAACCATTGGACTCAGACTGATGACACCACCTGCTCTCCTGGGTCTCCAGCCTGCAGACAGCAGATAGTGGAATTTCTCAGCCTCCATAATTATGTGAGCCAATTCCTTATAATAACTCATCTCTATACACACTATCGGTTCTGTTTCTCTGGAAAACCCTGACTAATCCAGATTCCAAGCCAAATCTACCCATCTAAGTCACTCCCAAATGCCTGACTCCTAGTATGTGAAATTATGAGATAATAAATGTTCGTTGTTATTCTAAAGCCAATTTTTAAACTTTTTAAAAAAAGTTTTGAAGAAATGTTTTGCAGCTATAAGTTCCAACTCCAAAGTTCTGATCCTAATGAAGGTTACTCACTAGCTGTGATCTTGAGAAAATCTATGAAGCACTCTCTTTGCTAAATAATAATCTAGAAAATTTTCAGAGTTGTGACTAATTAACCATTACAACTGGATTCAGGGACAGCTCTGTGCAAAGATGAACTCCTGGCACACCCGTAAGCAATGAATGAACCTTTCAGTCCTGCATCTGATCTACCAACATAAAGATCTAATGTAAGACTCTGTTAGCAGTAACCCCCAAATGGTCACTAAGCATCTCTTAAGTGCCCTTCTCTGTGCTGAGATACCCAGAAGAAAGTAGGCCTTTGCTTACACTGTGTAGTTCACCAAAAATGCCTTCCCTTACCTCCACCTACTGCAAACCCATCTCTTGCCCAAGGCCCATCTCAAATGCCTCTGAAAATGCCCACGTTCACTTCATCTGACCCTGTCCTCTAACCTGGCAATGGTGCACTGGGAAATGTTTAAAAACCAGCTCTCTTGAGAGAAAAGGTCCTGATTTGAACCCTTACTTGCTTCCTGTGGTGTTAATACTTCTCCCAAAGCTGATGTAAAGCTCCCAACATGATATCCCTACGTGCAGAGTTGGGAAAAGATGTATGTATCCAGCACACACCCCTGCATTTTGGACACTTCATTCTCTGACTGTCCTCTTGATTATTTTAAAGTGTCCCCGGGACCTGTCTCCCTCTCCCATGCCCAGAATCTCTTCCTCGCCCAGCCCTTTATTATCTCCTGCCTGGACTATTGTGAAAGCCTCTTCCCTGTTCTCTCTACCACTAGGCTGTTCTCACTCCCATCCCTCCTCCCACCACCTTGGAGTGAGCACTCTTACACTCATGGCACCACACTGCCCATCTTAAAATCCTTCAGACCCACGCTTTCAATAAAAAGGTCAAAGTTGTTGGATATACAAGCTCTTTAGAACCTGACCCCTGTCTATCTCTCCATCTTTACACACACACACACACACACACACACCTCACACGCTAACCCTAAGGCACTTCTCTGATGAACCATGGCTTTCATGCTCCCTTAATATTCCTACAGCCTAAAATGCCTTCTCCCCAGTCACAAATCCCACTCCTCCCTCTGGGCCCACAGGCATTGTCCTCTTCCTCAGCCCCTCTTGTCTCCACATTTCCATGGCATTTTATTGAGAACTCAATTGGAGAACTTACTATGGAGAATCATGACTGGTTTTGTGTACCTCTGCCTTTCCCTCCCCTCCCAAAGCCATAAGCTCCTTGAGGGCAGAACCCTCGAGTGAGTCTCCTATTCTTCAGTGCCTGGCACCATGTCCTGACCTGATGGGAGAGCCTGTCTGGGTCTGGAGAGGGAAGGGATGGTGCTTGGAGGTCAGTGGGATGAGGCAGTAGGAATGGGCAGAGCCAAGGACCTCTCCCATCCCAAATCCTAGGAAGTCTCCTGGCAGACAGGGGTATAGGTTGCTGAGGCAGTGGGTTAAGAGGGCAGGGGTTGAGGAACAGAAGCCCTTCCAGAACTCTATAGTGGCTGAGGCTCCCAGGACCCCAATCACACCTGTTCTGTGTATCCACTGTTCATACTTAAAACCCATCTCTTAGGATCTGTGTCTTTTATGTTGCTTTAAAATTAGTAATTAGGGGCTCAAAGCAACCACTTGACCACATGTTGAAGGCTCTGGTTCAGATTCTGAACCAAAGGGTGGAAGACAGACAGTCCTCTTTTCTCCCCCCAAAAAATTCAAACAGACAATGTCTTGAATTTCAGGTAGTTTTCTTAAAATAATTGCAATAAAACACCTTGGATGTTAGCTCTGCTCCAAGTACAAAGAGACCTCAGCATGTCCCTGCTCCAGCTGGCTTTTCCATCTGAAAAAGAAAGCTAGTGACCAGATATCACTAATATTTCTAACACTATGATTCTAAGTCAATTCCCCCTCTCTGTGACCTGATTTCCTATAAAATGGGAATAATAATACCTAGCCATCTGGGAGGGCCATAGAAGATCAAGTGAGATAATGAATACAAAAATACCATTGTAAGCTATACTATAGCATATTAGTTATTTTTTTAATGTTACTTTATTGTTTAAAGTATTACAAATAGTAGTACATATGTCTCCTTTTTTTCCCCATTGACCTTCCCCTGGCGTCACCTACTACCTACCCTCCCCCCAGTGTCTTGTGTCCATTGGTTATGCTTATATGCATGCATACAAGTCTTTCGGTTGATCTCTTCTTAACAACATTTATAGCCCTGGTCCATGTGGCTCAGGTGGTTGGTCCTGTGCACTGAAAGGTGACCAGTTCTATTCCCAGTCAGGGCACCAAAACTAGCATATTAGTTATTACTCATAAAATTTAAATGCTTTAACATGATTGTAGTCATTGTGGTGAATGTTAACTTAGGAGAAAAGCAAAGGTGCATTAAAGGCACGTCCGCCTAAGTGGGGACTCCTCACATGGTTGGGTAAAGTCAGAGATCAGACATTTTCTGGGTGAGCAGTAGACACTCCTGGCCAGGCCTGTATCAATAGTTTCCATTATAGCTTTTTTATTCCCCAAGATCTACACAAAAGATTGGCCATTAGAATCCAGGCATGCTAGCTTTTTGTTTGTTTGTTTTTTCAAAACTCAAAATGCTTCTTTAATACTAAATGCTAATTTATAATATTTATTCAGTTGTATTAAGTTATAAAATATATCATTCTGAAATTCATATCTATCTATTATCTACCTATCTATCTATGGATCTACCTATCTATGGAAAAACAACAGGTACCCAAAGTGGCACCAGCACTCCCAGCATCTCCTACATCACATAGCCATAGTACAGAGAAATGTCCATTTATTTTTCCCTCTCAATGAAATGCTGCATTTTCCCCAATTTGGCAGCATTCTCACGCTCTAGTTGAGCCTTCCTTTTCATGGCCTCTCGATCTGGCCTCTGCTCATTTGTGATGGGTGTTGACATTACTGGCCCCAGAACCTCAGGTTTCCTCCATGGAATTGGTTGGAGGGCGAAATCCTGGAGTGGATAGTGTTTGTGAGGCTTGATCGGGGACCAGGGCTGGCTCACAGCAGACTGAACAGGCTCCCGCTGGAAAGAAGCACAAGATGATGTTTTGTAGGGCCCAGGCCTAGAAGCAAGAGTCTGAGGGACACTAGGCCGGGCAGGGTTGTTCAAACCTGGTCCGGCTGAGTTGGTCAACATTGGCTGAGCTGATCTGACAGGACCTGTCAAGGATACAGGAGTTGGCAGGGTTGCAGTGACTGCAGCAGGCTTAGCAGGGTTGGTCACAGCAGGCCAAAGTGATGCCAGAGACTATGGCCTTCGAGGAACAGGTCGAGCTTGAGGTTTGTCCATGGTTGGAAAAACCAATGGCACCAACTTGACCTTCCGGGAGAAGGCAGCTTATCCTGGGATGGAGGTGGAGACCCTTTGTCAGCACTTCCATATCGTTTTTGGGGTTTGACTTGAGTTTTCACAGGACCTTTGCCCTCACGGGGCGTATCCAGCCATGGTTTGGTAGCCTGGCCTGGCTGGGGGTCTTTGGGGTTGCTTGAGTTTCCCAGGGCCCGTGAGGAAGACAGATCAGCTTTCTCTTCACTCTTCTTGCCCAGTGCATGGAAAACCTGCACAGACTCCAGCATGTGCATACCGAGGCTGCTGCGAGGCTTTTTGATGGCCTCTTGTGGCAGCTCAGGATGACTTTTCTTCCTCTTCCTCTTGGGAATGGCTGGCTTCTCCTCGGCCTTGACTTTGTTCCCTGACTGCTTCCGCTCCTCAGCTCTCTGGGAGGAGTCTTCCTTGTTTCTTTTGGTGTTTTCCTGCCCATGGCTCTTAGTATTGCTGGTGCTGCTGGCTGCAGCTTTCTGCGGTTTGCTGTTAGAATGCTTGGCCATGTTCGAAGGAGCCCTGCCACCAGCTGCAGCATTGCAAGGAACCAGTTCTCCCACAAACACACAGTCTGGGCTCTCGGGCTTGATCTTGGCCTTGGGAGCATCACTGATAGACTCAGAGGCTTTGTGTTTGATCTTCCTGCCTTGATCAGAGCGAGTCTT